TTTCAGCGGGAGATGCGTGAACGTATGGACGCGCTCACTCTTGAAGTTCGAGCTCATTATCCTCCTCCTCCCGACCCTCCGATTGATTAGACCTTTTCTCCATGCTTTCTTAGTATTTCAAACTTGGATTGTTTTTTATGTTTCTGGATTGTTTGTTTTGGATTGTTAAATGCTTGAATTTGTTATGGTTTGGATGATTGGATTTTGAACTTAATATATATATATATGGTTTGGTTGAATTTTCTTATTTTTGCATCATTAGATATATATGACCAATTATGCCATTTCACATTTGTTTATGAATATTGATTATGGAACTAATGGCTAATCACTCTTTTGATTGTGATCTTAGCAGCTTAAGCTATATATATATTTAAAATCAATTGGCTATGTTTTTCAAATCCTTGTTTAAAATTATTTTTGAGTCTTTTTGATTTAACAAAAAGGGGGAGAAATGTTAAAGTGTTTTAAAGGGGAGAAGTGTTAAAGTGTTAAAGTAAGGGGGAGTAATTTCAAAACTTGATTTCAAAATTTATTCTCGAATAAAAGCTTAAAATTACTCAAGTGTTTTGTTATATCAAAAAGGGGGAGATTGTTGAAAACATTTTTGATGTTTCGATATAACAAATTAAGTTAAATGAATTTTAAGATTTTACAAAAGAGTTTCTAAGTATGTTTGATTTAATTAATCGAATATCAAATTATTACTCCAAGTCTTTCAAGATCAAATTCAAACCTTACTAAATATGTAAAATTGTGTTTTATACTTAAACTATTTTTGAAACAATTTTCATAAAGTATTTTGAACCAAAATTAAGCCTAAAATCAATTTATCAAAGTGATGCACCGATGCACCGATCCATGCATCGATGCACCATTAATTAAATTGAACATCGAATGAATTTCATGCATCGATGCACTGAGGATTTTATGAAAAAATCGAATGCATTTGATGCATCGATGCACCAGCCATGCATCGATGCACTCTGGCTATTTTGAAACATCGAATGCACTTGATGCATCGATGCACTCTTAGTGCACCGATGCACTAAGGGTCCAACGGTCAAAATATTTGAATTTTACATTGATGCACCGATGTACCATGGGTATGCATTGATGCACTGATGCACCATGGGTATGCATCGATGCACTGACGCTCCCAACTGCATTAATTAATTGTTTTCACACTTAAACGGCTCTATTGACTCCACTAAGCATCCCTAACGTTCAGAATCATTTGAAGGTGTATTTAAACAAGCTTAGAAACCATTGATAAATAACAAGAAACAACAAGCAACTAGAATCAAGAGAGAATCAAAGAGAAAGCATCAAACTAATTGTTTGAGCACTTCAAGCCTATTTTTCATTCAATATTCATTTTGCTTTCAAGAAAACTACTTGTACTCAATTGTATTCATTCTTGAGTGTTCTTTTCTTTGTTTTAGCATTGTGCAAACAATCTACCTTGTGAGGTTTTCCTTGTAAGTTTGCAAATTTGTGTATTTCTCTTTGGGAGAGAGTGCTCAAGAATTTGGGGTATACTTCTTGAGGGATTTGTAAGGTTACTCTTTGTCCTCAAAAGAAAGAACAAATTAGTGAATTTGTTGGAAAATCCTTAGTGTGGATAGCTAAGGTAGTGGACGTAGACTTTGGGTGAGAAAGTCGAACCACTCTAAATCGTTGTGCAAATATTTTCAATTTTCTGCAAAAGCTTCCACCGAAATTTTTATTGCCAATTCACCCCCTCTTGGCCAATTCCATCGATCGATTAACTCAACACATATTTTTACTTCAAGATTTACGCTGGTTACTACAAGAACAATTCTTCGCTGCCAACTCGGATTGTGTTATTTCAATAACAACTGACTCCGATCTCAATTTCCTCTTAGCAAACAATTTTGCTAAGTGTGTTCTCGGTAAGTTGAATATACTTCAATAAGCAAATCCTTCTTCAAACGTTAACCATAACAATATCCAGACCTATGTCAAAAATCGTTTTGATTTGAAAAGTAAGCTTAGAAAACAGAGAGGAAATCTGAAGCGATTTAAGTACCTTATAATTCTCACGTTTGGAATTGAGCCTTCGCTTTAGCCTTCGGCTTGAAAGAAAATTAGCTAAGCATAACCAAAGTCATACTTAGCATAATAGAAAAGTATGCGAAAAATAGAGAGAAAGCTAGAGAGAAAAAGAAGATTTTATTCTCAAATGAGAGATATATGTTTCTAGGCTCACCCTTAGAGGGTGTTTATAGCCTTCAAATTCCTAAAAACAAGCTAAAACATCTTAAATCCTAATTAAAACACTTAAAACTATTTAAACTAAAATACCTAAAAAATATAATAAAATATTCTAAATCCTAATTAAAATACTAAAACCTATTTAAACTAAAATACCTAAAACAAAGATAAAATATAAAAATAATATCCTAAAACTTAATTAAAATACTAAAACCTATTTAAACTAAAATACAAAGATAAAATATAATGTTTAAAATATTATTCTAAACTTGAGTTTAATCCAAATCCGAATTCCGGCCAGCTTTGATTCTGAAAATAAAAAAATATGCAGAATTGTGCCCTTTTTGTGCAATTTCCAGAATCTTAAGTCCTGTACAGAAAATGAATTAAAATGAACAAATAAGCCACAAAAATCAATGATTAAAGAGTAATTTAAAAGTAAAATATTAACTAAATTAAGCATTTATCATCGATGTACTTAGATCTTAGTCGTTCATTAAGGGGAGCTTCAACTATAAATAGATGCCTCTCCTCCTCATTTGTACTTACTTCTTCATTTTAAGAAATCACAGAGCATTCTCTCAAAGTTCTCTTGTCTTGCTTTTGTGCTAGTTCTTTTTTCTTTACTTCCGTTAAGAATCTAAGCATCTTTGTTTGGGTTATTTTCAAGCTGACTTAGCCGCAATCACAAAGAATGCGACTAAGGCCTCATGTTCAAGGCTTTGAAGTTACAAGGGTGAGACAAGTGGTATTCGAGCTAGTTTTGCGAGAAATGGAACAACGAAACCATGATGAGGTCTCGACAACCATCGAAGTGATGAAGACTCGTGTTGTTGCGATGAAGAAGCTTTGAAGCTCGAAGGATGTCATGGCATCATTTGAGCAAAGAGTTGGTATGCTGGAAGACAGGTACAACAAATTTAAGGAGACTCATGATTCGGTTGAATCTCGCCTGGAGAAATTGGAGTCTGTGGAAGAAGGACTTGGCCAGGAAACTCAAGCACTCATCGACGAGATGGCAGAGAAGGTGGATGAGCATACCAGAGGCCACGAGAGCATGTACTTGGCCATGAGGGCCGAAATGATGTGGGAGGTGAAAGAGCTTAAGAGTGAGATGCTTGTCCACAAGGCTGCTGTGTTGAATGGGGTGACTGGAGAGTCACAAACACCTAGACCCAGGATCGACGTCCCTAAGATGAAGAACTTCAAGGGAAGTCGAACTACCCAAGATGTGGAGAATTTCATCTGAGGCATGGAGTAATTCTTTTGAGGCCTGGGTATCGAGGATGATACCACCAAGGTTAATGTTGCTTCAAATTATCTTACTGATGCTGCTATGTTATGGTGGTGACGTAGGTATTCTAAGAATGTGAATCCGATCGGGACATGGGAGGAGTTTGTGGGAGAACTCAAAGAGTATTTCTATCCGAAGAATGCTCCGCTCGAGGCTCGAGCAAAACTAAAGTAATTGAAACATGATTGTACCATCTTGGAGTATGTCAAGAACTTCACTAAGATCAAGATGCAAATTCCTGACTTCGGCGAGTCAGAAGGGTTCTTTGTATTCATGGACGGACTACAACGTTGGGCCAACTTGGAGATCTAGAGGAGGGGGAGTGACTGAACTCTCCAAGGCATTGGATGCATCCGAGGCCATTGCCCAGTTTGAAGTGAAGAAGACCGACTCTCTCAAATCAAAGCCAAAACCCAAAGGTAATGGTGGAGGAAAGAGGCCAAAGGAGGCTCCAACAAGCCATCAGGGGGTAATGGGAAGCATAATTATTGACCCAAGAAGCTCTTCAATCCTTGGGAGAATAAGGGTGACCTATCATGCTTCAATTATAGAGGAAATCACATGAAGAGGGATTGTCCTCATCTTGTGAAAGTTTCTACCATCAAGGAGAATGATGGGGAAGATAAGGATACCTTGAAGCTTGGTTCCATCATTAGCTCCATAGAGATCAAGAAGGGTCTGAGGTATGTAGACATCACTGTGGAGGGCCAAAATATGAGGTGTACTAGTGGACATAGGTGCCTCAGAGTTGTTATTGTCCGAACAAGCTGCCAAGAAACTTGATCTTCATGTGGAGAAGATAAGTGGATTTATTAAAACCATCAATTCCAAAGAAGTTTCAATTTTTTGTGAAGAAAAAAGAATCAATCTCAGCATTGGATGATGGACCGGGAAAGAGTCCATAAAGGTAATCCCACTCGATGATTTTGACTTTGTTATTGGGATTAGTTTCCTTGATCAGATTAATGGGTCCCCCTTGCCGTTTTCCGATTGCCTAGTAATTTGTTATCCAAAACACCAATACATTGTTCCGGTGTCAAGAGTCCAAAATCGATGCCAAGATATTGTATGCGATCCAGTTCTCAAAGGGGGTGCGTAGTGAAGAACTCGTCTTTGTGGCATCATATGTGGGAGATGAGCCCACGGTGACTAAGAAAGTATAGAATGAAGTGGGAAAAGTGTTGGCAGAGTTTAGGGATGTGATGCCAATCGAGTTATCAAAGTGTTTGCCACCGAAGAGAGGGGTGGACCACAAGATCAAGCTCATGTCGAATGCGGAGCCACCCACTAGGGCAACCTACCGTATGGCCCCACAGGAGTTAGAAGAGCTTCGTAGACAGTTGAAAGAGCTCCTAGATGTATATTTGATCGTTAAGGGCACCCTTTGGTGTACCGGTGCTATTCCAGAAGAAGCATGGTAGCTCCCTTTTGAATGTGCATCGACTATCGAGATTTGAACAATCTCATCATGAAGAACAAGTACCCGATCCCGTTGACTGTCGACTTGTTTAATCAACTTGGTGGTGTGAGGTGTTTCACCAAGTTGGATTTGCAGTCCGAATATTACCAATTCAGGATAGCCGAATGTGATGATCCGAATACTGCTTGTGTGACGCGCTACGGTTCGTATGAGTTTCTTGTGATGCCCTTTGGCCTCACAAATACCCCCTACCTTATGGACGTTGATGAATAAGGTATTACAACCCTTTATCGATTATTTCATTGTAGTTTACCTTGATGACATTGTGGTATATAGTAAGACCTTTGAGGAACATGTTGAGCACTTGAAAAGGGTGTTCCAAATCTTACGGGAGAACGAGCTCTATGTCAAAGAGGAAAAGTGCTCGTTTTCGCAGAAGGAGGTGTCGTTCATTGGCCATATCATTGGAGGAGGCAAGCTCCAGGTGGATTGGAACAAGATTCGGGCGATTGATAAGTGGAAGCCACCCACCAAGGCGACTGAGTTGAGAGCATTATTGGAATTAGCCAACTACTACCGACGGTTTGTGAAAGGCTATTCCAAGATTGCCACACCTTTGACTGAGTTGCTCAAGAAGGAAAAGTTGTGAGAGTGGATCACGGAGTGCCAGTAGTCTTTTGAAAAGATCAAGGAAGCCATGGTGAGTGAGTCAGTGTTGGTGTTGCCAGATTACACCAAGCCTTTTGTAGTTTTCATCGATGCATCCAATGTTGCCATTGGTGGAGTCCTTATGCAAGAGGGACATCTAGTTGCATATGAGAGCCGGAAGCTCAATGAGACCGAGAGGAGGTAATTGGTTCACGAGAAGGAGATGAATGTAGTGGTGTACTGTTTGAGCACTTGGCGTCATTATTTTCTTGGTTCTAAGTTTGTGGTTTTTACCGACAATGTTGCAAATAGTTATTTTCTCACCCAAAAGAAACTTTCTCTTAAGTAGGCTCATTGGCAAGAGTTTCTTACCAAGTTCGATTTTTCCATGGAGTACAAGCCAGGGAAGGTGAACTATGTTGCATATGGCTTAAGCTAGAGGTATGCCATCGAGACTGTGGAGGGTACTTTGCTCGAAGGGTTGCCCCATGACCCTGTGGCCGAAAGAATCATTGATAGAGTTAAGGAGGGGCGAACCAGGGAGTTTTGGCTCGAGGGGGAGTTGTTTTATTATCGAGGACATCATCTCTTTGTGCCTCGATATGGAAAGTTGCGTAAGGAGCTCATAAAGGAATGTCATGATTCCAAGTGGGCAGGACATCCGGGAGTTGATCGAACTTTGGCACTACTTTCATAGCAGTACTATTGGAGATTTACCTGAGGCACTATGTGAGTGCCAACCAACGTGACTGGTCAAAGTTGTTGGATGTGGCCCAGTTTTCCTACAACTTGCAACGGAGTGAGGCGACAAACCAGAGTCTGTTTGAGATCGTGACCGGGCAACAACTGGTTATACCCAACATGGTTGTTACCAAGTATGAGGGGCCAAATCAATCAGTACACAAGGTTGCCAAGGAGTGGCATGAGCAACATGACTTAGCCCGAGCTTGTTTTTGCAAGGCGAGGAAGCGGACCAAGAAGTGGGTCGATCGAAAGCATAGGTACGTGAACTTTGAAGTTGGCGATCTTGTCCATGCGAAATTGGCCAACATTTTGTGCAATGAAGATGTGCACAAGGGGCTTGTGCGAAGGTATGAGGGTCCGTTCTGACTCATGAAGCGGGTAGGAACCATGGCCTACAAATTGGAGTTACCTCCAACTATTCGAGCGCATCCCGTGATCCATGTTAGTCTACTCAAGTCGTACTACCAAGATACGAAGGATCCAAATCGAGGCAAGTCACACCGAGCGCCGGTCAGATTACAAGTCTACTATGACAAGGAGATTCAAGACATACAGACGAAGAGAGTTATTCGATGACCAAGACACCACCCGAGGCATAAGTACTTTGTTCTGTGGAAGGGACAACCCGAGTGTGAAGGGAATTAGGAGAATGCCGAGGGACTTTGGAAATTCAAAACCATAATAGACCAGTTTCATGCCAGACGAGTGACGAGGGCGTCACCGGAACCAGTGGAGGAGGGTGTCACGGACTGCGAGCCCACAACCGAGGTCAGCATAACAGAAGTAGCCCAAGAATACTTAAGTGGCATTTTAGACCTTCCTGGACCCATGAAGATTGGTCAATTCCATGGAGATGAAGAGCCTTGCACGTATATGGTAGGAGAATCCTTGGTTTAATGCAAAATCCTCATGATTCTTTCCATAAACTTTGTAATCTTTTATCTAAGGTAACATATAACTAGCTTGATAGAGTTTCCTTAGTTAAGGAGATTTTGTAATCACAATCCCTTGATTAGTGGGATTTAGGAGATTATATTTGATCTAGACCGTCGATGTACTTAGATCTTAGTTGTTCATTGAGGGGAGCTTTAACTATAAATAGAGGTCTCTCCTCCTTATTTGTACTCACTTCTTCATTTTGAGAAATCACAGAGCATTCTCTCAAATTTCTCTTGTCTTGCTTTTGTGCTAGTTCTCTTATTCTTTTCTTCCGTTGAGAATCTAAGCATCTTTGCTTGGGTTGTTTTAGGATGACTTAGCCGCAATCACAGAGAAAGTGACTAAGGCCACACGTTCGAGGAGTTGAAGTTCCAAGGGCGTGACAATAACATGAAGTATTTTGTGCAAATGTTCATAAAATATTAATAACCATTTTAACTTTTGTAAATATTTTTCTTATTTTTTTAAATGACAATAAAAACAATAAAAGTAAAAAAGAATACATTTTCCCATATTAAAAAATGACAATAAAAACAATCAAAATGAAAAGAAACTTTTTTCCTATCTTGAATTTGTGTACAATGAAAATAACGTGGATATTAAATATATTTTTTAATGAATTTTTTAATTTGTAATTCCCTAAACAATGCTAAGAGTTACAATTGAATCGGTGTAGCCACGTTGATTACAAAAATGATTTACAAATGAATTTTGTTTAAGAAATTATCTTAAAAACATTTACAATTTATGATATGAGGAATAAACTCATGCTATAATTTAAAAAGGTTAAAAATAAATATTTAACATCATACAATATGCATTCGAGACTACGCCTCTGATAGTCAAACCTATCCAACATCTATATAATCGGAAAATGAAATAAAAAAAAACAAAGTGAACTACAAGTTCAATGTGTCCTCTAGGTGTAATTAGATAATATTAAAAGGCAGAGTGAACTACAAAGTATAGTGTGTCCAATAATAAGATCCAAATATTTTACCAACAGTATACTGCAACAGAAGTTCACAGCATTATCTTTCATTTCGGTTTAATAGGATGGGAATGCTACCTTTCGAAGAGGAACTAGAAACCTCCAAAGATGTCCCAAAACAGAAAATAGAAATCAAGATGAAGATGTTACCCTCATAAGAGGAACTTGAGTTAACCTTTAAAAAGGAACTCAAAAGAAAACAGAAAACATGATGATAATGTTGTCCTCCGAAGAGGATCCCAAGTTAACCTTCAGAGATTTACTCAACATAAATCAGAAGACATGATGGAGATATTATCCTCCGAAGAGGATCCTGAGTTAACCTCCGAAGAGACACTCAAACAGAGATCATAAAACAAGATGAGGATGTTACCCTCCTAAAACGATTTCGAGTTAACCTTCAAATAGGAACTCAAAAAGAATTTTATATCAACCACTAGATCGTACACAATACAACATTAATTAGCATTCAGATATGCTTACACATATATATATATATATATATATATATATATATATATATATATATATATATATATCACAAAAGTACTCCCTTTGTCCCATTAAATCCGTTCACTATTGACTTTTTTTAGTTAAATTTTTAACTTTGACTCATTATTATTTAAAATTTATTATTAATAGAAGTATGAAAAAGATATTTTAAAAACTTTAAATCAAGTAGTTTTTAAATATATATTTTTATAAAATTTAAGTATTTAAATATTTAAAATATAAGGGTCAAAGTTTAATATTTTTGACATTTTAAAAGTCAATAATAGACACATTTAGTGTGACGGAAAGAGTAGTAGACATTATAGAAGTACTTTTTATTGGCATAAAATCTAACCTACTAACCAACTAAAGCTGTGCAGCAACTGATTAAGCAACTCCAAAACCTCCTTAGTAAACTGCTCACGCTATTTGCATGAGGTAGCCCACGTTGAACTACACATTCCGTTTGCATGAGATTCCATACGACACCTTAATACTAACATTCTCCCTACCGTGTCAAGCGCCAAAATCAGCACGAGCAACCATATTGAGTTTCTGTCCAAAAATAGGAAAGTATAACTTCAACGAAGACATTTTGAACCCGTCGGCAATTTGATACTGGCCGGGAACGTAATAGACACTCACTGAACCATTTGCAACCTTCTTCAGAACAAAATGAACATCAAGTTTAATATGTTTGTAAAGAGCATAGAACACATGATTGACACTCATGGAAACAACGCTCGTACTATCACTCTAAACAGCTGGAGTATCATAACAAACAATTCCCATATCAGCAAGAAGAGCATGCAATCATATAATTGCAGAGACCACCTCTGCTATTCAACGATACTTTGCCTCAGTTGTGGAGTGACAGACAGACTTCTATTTTCTCAAACATCGGGATATAAGATTGTCCCCAAGATAGATACAGTATCTAGACACTGACCGCCTATCTTCAGAATTGTTTACCCAATCCGCATTCGAAAAAGCTCGTATCTCAAGATTACTTGTAGAGGAATGAAATATCAACACATAATCTAGAGTCTCGCTCAAATAACAAAGAATATGTTCTAACCAATGCAACTCATAGGGGAGATGCATATATTGAGCAACACAACCAACGCTATAAGAAATACCCGGTAGTGTGACTAAGGTAAAGAAAACCACCGATAATACTCTGATAATGCTGAGTACCTTCAAGAGGATGCCCAACATCACGAGTAAGTTTAGGTGTGGAGAGCATTAGAGTAGAGGCCGACCGTGCTCCAACCATATCTACTCGCTCCAATAGCTCGCGAATATACTTGCGTTAACTCAACAACAATGCACCCTCACATCGCTCAAACTCAAGGCCAACAAAAAATGTCAATTTACCAAGATCTTTTAAAGAAAATTTAGATCTCAACATACGCACAACATCCTCAACTGAGTCATCACTACAACCAGAAATAACAATGTCATCAACAAAAACAAGAACAAACACACTATTACCCCCACTTTTTCGAATAAACAAAGACACATCAGCCTGCATTCCAACAAAATCGATACTAAGTAAGAAGGAACGAAGTTTAGAGTACCAGTTCCCGTGATCTTACTTTAACCCATATAGTGTCTTCTCCAACTTACACACCAACCGATCTCCATAAGCGGACTGCTGCTCAAACTCTGGTGGTTGCTCCATAAACACCTTCTCAACCAACTCACTATTAAGAAACACATTATTAACGTCCACCTGCCGAAGTTTCTAATTATTTTCGACAACCAAGCACTATATTTATCGTGGACGACAAGACTAAACGGGACTCGAAAATGTTGTCCTGTTACCTGAGACT